CCTAGACCTTGCTACTGGCAACTCCATAAAGCTGACTGGGAAAAATTTCAAAACAATGTCCAACTTGATGACCTGGTACCAGAAGAAACAAATATTGATGACTTAATTGAGAATTTGAACAGTAGGATCCTAAAAGCTGCAGAAATTTCCACCCCTAAATCCAAACACAACCACTCCCTTAAACAACCAGTACCATGGTGGACTGCTGAATGTGCTCAAGCTGTATATGAACGTAAAAGAACCTTGAGAAAATTTCTCCGGAATCCTTCCACAACCAACTTTGAAATCTATTCCTCTGCCAAAAAACAAGCCAATCGCATAATCACAACTAGCAAAAAACAATCGTGGGCTAATTTTCTCACAAAGGTAAATCGGCACACACCCATCAAAGAATTCTGGTCCACTGTTAAAAGAATCATGGGACATGGTTACTCCCCTCCTGTTTCCGTCCTCCAGTCAGGCAATAATTTTATAACTAACCCCAAAGAAATTTCAAACCTCCTTGCAAAGTCGCTTCACGACTCTACACTAACCTCTAACTTCGACCCAAAATTTCAGAATACAAAATCATCAAAAGAATCTACCCCTCTACTTCCTGCAAACCTTGATGACAACGATCCTTTGAACTTCCCTTTCACCCTCTCTGAATTCTCTCTTGCTCTGTCCTCGAGAAAAGACACTGCCCCTGGACCTGATAACATCAGTGTAGGAATGATACAAAACCTTTCAACAAATAATCAAAAAGTTATACTTAACATTTTCAATGAGATTTTTCTAAAAGATAAATTTCCAAAAATCGGGGGCAAAGCAGTAAACATACCAATCCTAAAGAAAAACAAACCCCCTCTCTTAGCCTCAAGCTATCGACATATTGCTCTTACATGCTCTCTGAGTAAACTTCTTGAAAAAATACTAGCCCAAAGACTTAACTGGTATCTCGAATCTCACTTGCTGTTACCAACTTGTCAGAGTGGATTTCGAAGAAATCGAAGCACCATTGACAACCTTGTTATCTTGGATACATATATAATGGAGGCCTTCCGCAACAAAGAAAAAGTTCTTGCTGTTTTTCTTGATATCGAGAATGCATTTGACCGCACTTGGCGACGACTAATTCTCGACTCTTTAATCCGTCTCGGTGTCTCTGGTCACATTCTGACCTTTATATCCAACTTTCTGGGTAATAGAAGTTTTCAGGTTCGTTGTGGTAACGCCATGTCTGATGAATTCTCCCAAGAAAACGGTGTGCCTCAGGGATGTGTCCTAAGTGCTATGCTTTTCAGTATATGTTTTAATCAAATCCTTACTTCAATTGATCCACCTGTGCAAGCTCTTTTATATGCCGACGATCTTGTAATATACTGCAAACACAAAAATATAGCCATACTTCAACAACAAATTCAATCTACTCTGTCCTCAATAAGTAGTTGGCTCGGTAATAACGGTTTCAAAGCCTCTGAAGCTAAAACGGTCGCTGTACTTTTCTCCAAAAGACAACCCTCTTTTCTCCCCAATCTTAAAATGCATAATGCAGTTATACGGTACACAGACTCTGTTCGCTACCTTGGTTTGATGTTTGATAAGCATTTAAATTGGAAACTTCATCTTAAAAATATAAAGCAATCATGTCAAACATCACTGAATCTCTTCCGTCTATTAACTTCCACCCGTTGGGGAGCAGACAGAAATAGCTTGTTGAGGCTATACAAAACTCTTATACAATCTAAGATTGAGTACGGATCGATCGCATATGGGTCAGCAAGTGAAAAAACACTTGAAATCGTCAATCCAATTCAAAACCAAGGCCTGAGAATGGCTATTGGTGCCTTTCGTACTAGCCCTGTAAACAGCATACACGTTGACTCAGGTGAACTCCCACTAAAACATAGACGCTGTATGTCTGACCTCTTCTATTTTGCCAAAATCCTATCCACCCCCATCACCCTCTCCATTCCTCTTTTACAAATGGGCGCCCTCTTCCAAACTTTCCTGACTGGCACATCCCACGTTTTTCCTTCCCACTAAGAATCCACATACTCCTAACAAATTACAAAATTGAGGTCCCTCACGTCCAAAAATCGCATACATCCCCCATTCCCCCGTGGACCCTCCCCACTCTTTCCATTTGCTATTCAATCTCATCTTACAATAAGGATCGTACCCCACTGTATATATTTAAGAATGAATTTCTAATGTTCAAATCTACACATTCAGAAGCAGTTTTTGTTTTCACTGACGGATCCAGGTCTGAGGATGGAACTGGATCTGCTGTTGTCTGTGAGTCACAAGTATATCGTTTCCGCCTACATCACCATTGCTCTAGTTATACTGCTGAACTCCTAGCCATACTCAAAGCAATTAATATCATTAATGTGCCCCGTACCACCCTAATTATCTGTTCTGACTCTCTTTCAGCACTCACCACACTAAAAAACACATTCTCCCTAAACCCAGACATCTACAATATTCTTGCAAAGTTAAAACAATATAAAGACATACGTGTAGAAGTAATATTCAAATGGATCCCAGGCCACGCTGGAATAACTGAAAATGAGAAGGCAGACCGTATGGCGAGAAAGGCAGCCTTGAGTGGTATTCCTCACGGAGGTGTCCCCTTCAGTGACCTCTGCCGTCACTTTAGGCGGCTCATCTGGAGGGCATGGAAGTGTGAGTGGGGTGCCTGCACAGGAAACAAGCTCCTCGCAATAAAGAAAGATGTAATGAAATGGGAATCCTCTTCCAGACCCTCCCGAAAAGAAGAAACCCTCCTAACCCGCCTTCGAATTGGCCACTCCCGACTCACCCATAGATTCCTACTTGAAAGAACTCCTAAACCTATATGTCCTCTGTAAAACTACCATCACAATATCCCACATCCTAATAGATTGTCCTTTATACACTTCTAAAAGATCCCTCCATCAGATTCCCAAAGACCTCCAATCCATACTAAGCAACAACTCAACATCAATAAACAAAATTTTTAACTTCTTAACAGACATCCAACTAATTGATAAAATCTGATATCCCATCCCCTCAACTCTTGTTTCCTTTGCTGGTTCCCCATGTTGGCGGTGTGGTGCGGCTGACTTCTGGCGACGCCCGTGCGGAGCCTCGGGTGCTGGTCGGTCTTGGGCTGGATTGAGGGGTGCCTCCCCGGACTCTGAGGTCAAGGAATCTCCAGCGAACTTAGAGGAGGTGTCGATGGTGACTAGACACCGACCCCTCCTCGATAAAGTCCTGCGCGCAATATTAAGACTAAAAGCATCAGTTGCGAGAGATCCGTGGGGTTCCGTTCTTTCTTGGCCTGGGGCTGCCACTGGTCTGCGGGGGCCTCGCTCTGAGGGGGCCGGGCTGCGCCGTTAACTTGCACAGACTCAAGGCTTAATGACCAATAAGGTTTCAGCCTTTAAATTATTTAAATAAAAAAATATATGTAAAGAATAAATAAATTAATTTAAAAAAATTAATAAAACTGGTAGGCACATAAAAACAAAGCAATACAAAGTAAGGCCGAAACAGTAAGTAAATAAAATAAAACAGAACAATAGAGAAACAAAAAATTCAACTCGCAGTGTTAATTAGCTTTCAATAATTGAAATCAATCGATAAACTCTCCTATACCCTTTATTAAAATTCATCAAGGCAGGCAAATGCTTAAAATGCTGTCTGCATTATTACTAAATTCACTTGCTAAACAGGCAGCACACGTGTCGGCCTCAGTGGAAAACTGTAACCGTCCGGAATTCCATTACCGCCCGTTCGACCCTATTAAAATTCCATAATCCTCCGGTTCTGGTGACCCCTTCGTGGAAACTGGATAATTGCATCCTCATACGGTGGAGAAAGCCGGGCCATAAACAAGAATTGCTTTTTCGTTTCTTATCGCTTATGAGATTTTGAAAACCGACACGGGAGGTGATTCAGTCAAGAGTTCAAATAATTGGAACAACGATAATTTAAAAATAATAGAAACAAACAATGCAAAAACAGTTAAGTTGCATACAGAATCGCATATTGCAAATTGATAACAGAACAATAAAATATTAAACCGTATGATTATTCGGAAATCGTGAAATGCGGTCTGGTGTGATGTAGGTTTCAGAAAAGCATTTTCTTTATCGTGCCAATGTTTCGATCTTTATTGAAATCATCTTCAGGGCCTGGGATTTACAAACATTGTTTAAATATAACAAATATATGTTTTCTGCATTGTATAAATTCACTTTTTTCCATATCCTACATGTATTTGTTATTTTTAAAAAATGATTGTAAATCCCAAGCCCTGATGATGATATCAATAAAGATCAAAACGTTGGCACGTTAAAGAAAATGTTTTTCTGAAACCAACATCACACCAGACCGCATCTCACGTTTTCCGAATAATGATCGACTAACGGACACTAACCACCACACATTAAACCGTATAATATTATATTTTATCTGTCTGTTTCTCTCTCTTTCTCTTCCTGTCATTCTCTCTCATGGCCCTGAAATTTTCTTTCTTTGTTTATGTGTATCTGAATGTAGAATACTGTCTATTTTACAGTCTATCTTCGTTCTGAATCTCGCTTGTTTTCCACTTCGTTCTCTACCTACCTCTTAATTGTCTATGCTTACAGCTCTCCGTTTTTTTTCTCACCGTCTGTCTCTGTCTCTGTGTGTGTCCATCTGTCCGTCAGTCTATCTGACTGTTTGTCACTCTCTCATCACCTCTTTCTTTTTGACTCTTTGTTTCTCTGTCTTTCTTTCCATCTACCTCTCTCTGTCATTCTCTTCACCTGGCTGCTATATTCTCTTTGGGCCTCTATATGACTGTATGTGTATGTATATTTTTGGTTTCAATCTTTGTGTCTATGTCTCCTGTTTCTCACTTGCACCCTCTCTTATTTTTTCCCTGTATAATATACAGGCCCCTTTTTTCGCTCTGGTTTGAATGTCTGTCTCCGTCATTCTATCTATCTAACTATAACTATCTAATATTTATCCTTCTTCCAGCCTACCTGTGCATCTACAAGGAGGCGTTTCATCAAAGCCACGGAGGAGTTGACGCCTTCGTTCTGCAGGCCATTCTCAGTAGCTTCTGAGATGTGAGTTCTTAGCTCTTTTAGAGTGGAGAGAGCTGTAATAAAAAACAAAAGAAATAACATTAGAAATCGTGAATAAGTTGTACATAACAATAATCCTAGTAAAAAAAATTTCCTGTGATAAATTTGTGATATCTTGTGGTATTTTTCACTTATTCACGTCCATACTTTCTCTATCCCAAAATCCACTCAATTTTTTAAAAAGCTTAAAAGTTTATTATAGAAAGACACCTTAAAATATTCGACATAAGAATCCCCATGTCAATAGAACCATATTGAGAATAAAATATAAATTTAAAATATGGTAGATAATTATAATAAAAAAAACTTCTCCCCAATTTGTAATTATCCTCTTACATCTCGTAAAACCTTTGTACTAAAGTATATTATAATGTATAATAAAGAGTAAATAAAGAGTTGGTATACAAGGGGATGAAGAAAAATGAATAATTTCAAAATCATCAAGTTCTTTTCCTCTCTAACTTAATAACAAGAATATTCTATTCTGAAGATTTCCCTCAGGAAACGTTTGACAAAACATATAATAAAACTATTAAAAGTAGTAGCACTTGATGAAAATTAATAAACGAATCTAAACTATTCTGGGTTAATTGAATTGAGAAGTGTTAGAAACTAGGATTATTGGATTTTGTTATGTGAGAAGATTAAGAAGAGATGAGATGAGAGGGTGGAGGAAAAAAAAAGGTCGCGAGAGTAAGTTCTTTTGGGCTTAGTGTCGTCTGTACAAGCAAAGGTGTAACGGATTATCATAGCAAGTAAGCTTACTTTTCCTCGATAGTCTGAGCTTACTCCTTTAAATATAGTACCAAGCCTTAAAATATAAAGGTTATGTTTACAAATCTGTTAATCATTTTGTATTTTTAACCTGTAAATAATTATTTTTTAAATAAATCTTTATTATAAAGTTTTATATATCATTTTTTAAATTTTCACCGGGTATACGTACATGAGGGAAAAGATTCATTGCTAGAGGAAATGGGAATCAAGTCAATGAATAAAGCATGAACAGAATTTTTTTTTTTAATAAAGAAGACATTTTGGAATATATGATAAACCTTCAGCATTTAAAGTCATCCATCATAGGAATAAAGTCAAATTTAGACAGTTCTTTTAACAGAAATAGAAAAAACTATAATAGTTAATTAAAAAAAAAAATAAACTGAAGAAAGAATAAAAGCCACATTTTAACAGTATGTGTGGTGTGATTAGTGACCGTTAGTAGTTTTATATATCATTTTTTAAATTTTCACCGGGTATACGTACATGAGGGAAAAGATTCATTGCTAGAGGAAATGGGAATCAAGTCAATGAATAAAGCATGAACAGAATTTTTTTTTTTTTTTAATAAAGAAGACATTTTGGAATATATGATAAACCTTTATTCCTATGATGGATGACTTTAAATGCTAGTCATCCATCATAGGAATAAAGTCAAATTTAGACAGTTCTTTTAACAGAAATAGAAAAAACTATAATAGTTAATTTAAAAAAATAATAAACTGAAGAAAGAATAAAAGCCACATTTTAACAGTATGTGTGGTGTGATTAGTGACCGTTAGTAGATGATTATTTGGAGATCGTGAGATACGGTATGGTGTGATGTAGGTTTCAGAAAAACATTTTCTTTATCGTGCCAACGTTTCGATCTTGATTGAGATCATCTTCAGGGCTCAAAGTGTTTGTTTTCTGGGTAGATGTGTCATTCTTGTCTGTCGTATTACTCTCAACACACTTTGAGCTCTGAAGACGATCTCAATAAAGACCGAAACGTTGGCAAAATAAAGAAAATGTTTTTTCTACAGCCTACGTCACACCAGACCGCATTTCACGATATCCAAATAATAATTAATCATTGACTAATGGTCATTAAACACCACACCTTAACAATTATTTAGAAATCGTGAGATGCGGTCTGGTGTGACGTAGGTTTTAGAAAAAACATTTTCTTTATTTTGCCAACGTTTCGGTCTTTATTGAGATCATCCTCTCTCAGAGGGCCTGGGATTAACAGTATCTTTTCATTTATCGTACCAAAATATTTAAAACATCTTGGACTGTTTGAAAAAGGATCTAAGAGACATAACTTAAACAAACCTTATTCTTTTCAAAAAGTAGTTGGAATAAAGCCCCCGTTAGGCATTACTTCTAATAAATATAAACATTACAAAACTACTTCTATTTTAACTCAATTGTTTTCTAAAAATAGTTTGATATTTTGGATGTACGATGTAATAAAACAGAACCTTACATAAGTGTACATCAACCTTAGTAAAGTTTTAAATTAAGTCGAATAAAGAAAATCATTATAGAAAAGGCATAAAATATAGGAATATTTTAGGCAGTTTGAAATTTCTTTTGACAAGGAAATTAAATTTATAAAACCACACATGATCTGGGTTTCAACTAGAACAAAAAATAATGTAAATCTTTGTGGGAATCATCGGAGATTTAGACTAAAATATTTCCCGAAAATAATGAAACAGTGTTATTAATCGTCAGATGATAAAACAAGAGTTTTAACATTGTAATTATATTTTTACACACGATCAATCTACGTGATTCCGCGAAAATACGATAGCAAATGAGAAACGAATTAAATAAAATCAGAAAAATACGTAGACACAAAAATACTTAAAAATTGAAATATTCAAAAATTTTCTATAAGAAAAACCGTTGAATATGTTTTTCATTTAATTACAATAACATTTCAGGCCAAAAATCCATAATTTAGCAATTCATTATTTTCAATGCGATTTAATCGTTTAAATACAGTTAAGTAAAAATGTAAGGGAACTTCGCAGTTTAAGGATAAACTCTGAGAAGCAGTATTGGTAATGCCGTGGGTCTTTCGCCCTTCTTGTCCTGGGACTTTCGACGTGATGAATTATTTTTCAATAGCTCTTCCAGAAGCTTTTCCTGAGTTTTTTTGTTGTTAAACCTATAATGCAAAAATGAAGAGGCGTGAAGTATTAGCGCGGTGGGCCTAAGTTTATTTGCATTATGGGCTTAGGGGAGGAAAGGGCGCAAGAATAAATGAATTTTGATGGCTTGTAATCGTCGGATTTTGTTCGGCGAATAACACCGATTGGCAGTGGATTCGTGTTGCACTCTTTCAGATGTGGAGTATGCAGGGAGGACCGATAGGAGCCGAGAAGATGTGAATTTCGAACAGATGACATGTGTGAAAAATGGATTTGTTTCTTTCCTTTGGGCTTAGACGGACCTCGGCCGACTTCCAGTCACGTCCTTCCTGTTTTTCATTTTTATTACACATCTGGTCCGATGCGGACATTTTTAAAAGAAAACATTTTCATTTTTTTCTGTTCATATCTATAAGAATACGTTGAAAGTTTGAAACTATGTCACGATGCCAATTTTCTCGTTCTCTAGATCCAAATATATTTTTTATCGATTTTTGAATCAATAACTTCCAATTTTAATATTTGGCTTAAGACAACGTAATTACTAAAAATCTGAAAATTCAGGTAAATAAGACAATAAAAAATACAAGCTTCTTTAGGTCGCATTCTGTAAAAATCTGATATCGCATTCGTCAACATTCGAATTAAATTTTTGTACAAAATGTAAATTCAGATTACACAATAAAATACCACTATATTGACAAGTGGATTGCTTTAAAATTCATTCAACATGTAAACTTTTCAATCAGTTTATAACATCGTTTTGAATCAAACCGCTTTACATACCTAATGTGCGAAAATGAAATAACTGCATTTAATTTATGTTAAACCACCCTTTCCCGAAGGATCACAGGCGGACCAGAGCCGCCGGTGAAAACGAAGTTACAAACTTTCCGTAAGTACAATTCTGCTTTAGGTTACATTCAGTGGAAGCCAGATGTCCCATAAAAAACTTAGTTTGCATATATCATAAAATTTGAACATTCAGAAGTTTAATCACCTTTATAAAAATTTAGCACATAGTAATTATAATTTTTGAATAATCAGGGTAGAAAAATGAAGAAAAGATTGTCCCGAAATATTAATCTAGTTCACATGACTGCACTGTTAAGATTAATATTTCAACTTTTTATAAACTTTCATAATCTTAAAAAAAGCATTAAATAGCAGGGTAAATGACTAAATGAAAAGCCCAAACTTAATTAAATAAAATTTCCCAAATCTGAAAGGACCCATAAAAAAATTAAGAAACAAACAAATCATAATCATGAATATTCAAAAAATTCAATTAATTAATTATTTTTTAATAAATTGATTGACTATGTAATTATGCACGAACCGATCAACATCTAGTAGTATCGCCGTTCCATTGTTCATTAAACGCAATATTCTGCTTTTTCATACTTTCACCCATATTCTCACGGGCTCTCATATTTTTCCTCCTTTTTTCTTAACTAACTTCTCGTTGTTACCACAGGTAGTCAAACTGCTATTAAAAGAACTAGAAGGTACATACATATAAAACACACAAAGTTTTTCACGCTCTCCAGTTCACTTGCTACGGGACCCCTGCCTTGAATTATTTTTGTTTTGCTACCTTTTGAAATTTGTAAGAGCAAACATTTACCTTTGTTATCTCAACAAACCTTGCATATTTAGTTTATAGTATGTTTTTCAATTTGGTATCAAAATTCCTTCATAATATATATGAATAATTTTAGTTTAAGTCTACCCCACTAGGCTACTTACTAGTTCCACCGAGCTATTTGTTATATTTTGTGCGGAACATTTTGGACTAATTTCCTTTAATAAACCTCAAACTTTTAACAAAACTGTTGTATAAACCATTAATTATTTGAAGCTGAAATATTTCTTTAATAAAAAAATTTATGGGCAGATTTGTTTAATATTTTTTAATTAAAGTTAGTCCTAGAGAAAAATAAGTAAAATATTTCCGGAAAATCATAAAATATGTATTAATTAAACGTCAGATATTGTAAATATATTTTTAAACATGATCAATCCACGTAGTTCTATGAAAACGTGATTGTAAATGCAAAAAGGGAGCCGAACAATTGAAATATTTCTATATTGCAAAATTGTAATAGCTTATGGATTTATTATTTGATCCTACATGAAAAACAAAAAATTAAAATGGAACCGGAAAGGTTCATTTATAGCCCAATAAAATAATAATAAATAATAACATTTCTTGAATTATGAGCTCAAAATTGAAATATTGGTAATGCAGCCCTTTTATTGTCTGTTTTTTCGGTAATTATTTTATTTCCTAAAATACCTCTATCAGGCCCATTTTGCGACTCCCTCTGTTGTTAAATAGGGCAATAAAACATGAAGTTGAGATAATTTGTATATTGATGGAATAAAACGTATAATAACATTTTACAGTCTGATGCTAGCCAGTTCGATCTATTTTTTCCATATGCATCTTTAAAATCAATCAAAGTTAAAAAAGTCCTTAAATTTCTGTGGGGTTATTTAATTAGTTATCTGATCATTAAGACCGATTTAAATAAAAATAACATTGACAATTCTATTTCAGTCATTTTGGTCTGGTTTCCGTTGCTGGTTTGGCGCAGACGTGGTACTGAAGAAGAAGAGAAAAATGACCAAACTTCAGGTTCATCACACCGCAGACCACTGTCCGTTTTTGTTAGGGGTTCGATTATTTTGTACAGTTCCTAAAATTCCCACTAAGCGATACCCTGCTCATAAATACGATCATAAAACGTAAATTGAAAGTTGAGATAGTTTATATCTTGATCAAATTAAAGAAAAAATATAATAACATTAAGTAGAAAAACAGCGAGAACGAGCGGGCCAGGAAGACCAAGGTTAGTCAAACTATATTTTTTAAATGCTATTATGGATTTGAGTCAATTTTTAAAATCAATTTAATTTAATAAAGACTTTATATTTCTGAATATTAATTTATCTGATCACCAACACGTACGTAAAAAAACCATTGACAATTTTTCGGTAGCTTTGTCGTTTCCTATCATTTTAGTATGTCTACCTATGTTAATTAGTAGCACTCAGCATTGAAGAAGGACAAAAGTACAGGTTCATCACACCTCAGACTCCCATGTAGAAATCACTCAATTTTTCTCCGATTCAGAACATATTAATGATTTTTATTACGAGTGTTTCGTTGTGGTTGATGTAACTCCCCTGTTTTAAACCCCCTTTTAAACAAACAAAATACTAGTCGAAGTGAATGAGCAACTATAGTAAAACGAAATAAATTTAATTTTAGTTTATACATGATTAGTAATTTATTTTGGCACAGTTTCTTTCATTTAATAAACCGATAAAGGAAAGGAACAAATTAATTCAACGAGAACCGTATCGTTTATTCACACAATAGATAAAATATAAAATATACTTCTGTCTCTAAACAACTTGTGACTAGTTATACGTGAAACAGTTTAAAAACAATCTTTATATATAAGATTTGCACTGATTAAACAAACAGAGTCGGTCAGAAGGAAATAACAAACAACATCAATCGTTATCCTTGATCCCTCTTCTTATCCTCTCGTGCCTGAATTTCCTTTCGATGCTTTGAAGTTTTGAACGTAGGAGCTTTATATCGTTTCTAAAACCCTCTCCATCCAGAATCCTCCTCGTTCTCTCCTCTTCGAGTTTCTTTGCCAGTTGTTCCTCCTTTGAGGCAGCGCGTTCCTTTACCTTCTGGCAGGTCTCGCGCTCCGCTTCCAGCGTTTTCCGCACTTGATTGAGCCTGGTCTCGAAATCAGCGATTTGCCCCTGGAAACTCCTGATAAGTCGGTCTTTTTGAACGAGTTGTTCTTTAAGTAGGCTCGTCTCATCCTTTCGCCTTTGAGGTTTGCAATTATTGTCTCCGGGGAACTGGTCACCGAGCAGTTCCTTGCAGATATTCACGCATCGAGTAAGCCGGTCGTTTTCCTCCATGAGTTTTATTTCTCTTGTCCTCTCTTTGTCCAAGTCCTGAAAAAATTCTGATATCCCGTCGAGCTTTCTTAATTGGACGTTCTGAAGGCGACAGTTCAAACATGAAGCTTTCTGCTCAAGGAGCTGCCTCGTGGCTAACCATTCTTTGGACTTTAAATCTAAATCATTTTCCAGGATGCATATTTCATCTTGAAGCAGCTCAGTTTGCTCCTTCAGCTCGGTTTCTAAAGCTTTAATCCTCATGTTGAGTATCTCGTATTCGGACTGTTTAAATTCGGCAAGTTTGTTTTTGAGGGCGCGGACGTCGTTGAATCGTACTTTTGGCTTTTGCCTTCGCTGGAGTGGACTAGCGAGTCTGTCCAGAGGGTTTATATACAACTGGGCCTCTTTGAGACCGCAATGATCGAGGAGAAACGCGATTTTCCTCTTGTCGTCCGCTCTTTCCACCTTGAGTCTGTCGATCTCAGAAGTCAGCCTCAAGACGGTCTCCCTCTCTTTGTAGAGGTATCTCTGAAGTTCGCTGAGCGAATCTTGCAGCTTGCTCGTCGACCTGATCGCGTGGATCGATTCCACCTCCTGGTCCGCATTCTTCACGACGAGATCTTTAGCTTCGTTCACAAATCGCAAAAGGTCCGTGTATTTAGACCTCATCTCTCTGACTTTGCCCTGGTAAAATTCCAACAGGCGATTTGTCGGCGCCGAGTGATCGACCCAACGCGCCATCACCTGCAAAATATCGTATTCTCCTTTATTATTCAGCATTCCAGAAAGTGTTGAGATCTGGTGCAAAATAAATTGCAAAATAGACAATATGGAGTGCGCCAGGTAATACTGGCAGGAAGAAGAAGCGCTTGATTCTAGAAGTGTACTGATGTCCATTGAAAAATCTTCCAAAGCACGTTGAAGTAGTGTACATCATGGTAAAAATAAAAATGCAAAATGTGTAATTGCCTTCAAATTAAGAAGCTATCAGCACAACATAAAACACTAACACTTCATTGTTAAAAAGGTATTACGTAGTTTTATTTTTTAAAATATGTATGTAATATATTTTGTATCGTATAACTTTTCAAGGAGTCAGGACTTTTGGACTTTTTTTTTAACGTATGATATAAATAAATTTTCAAGATGGCATCATGGTATCACACTGACCATTACCAACCAAGCCAGTAAGATATTTCATGACATCATAAAACAAAAAGTGAAAAGTTTGCAATATTCTCACATTCAAATCGTCTTCTAAGTTTCGTGGTGTCATTCAGTCTCAACATTAAGCACACTTCAATGTTAAAAGGAATATTGTAGTTTTTAGTTTTTTTTGTTCTACTCGGACATACATATCATTTATATTGCATTTAGGTCTATCAATTGCTTGTATTTTGAGAAAACAAAAATTAAACCAAAAAACAAAAGAAATAGGAAAACCTCCTGCAGCCTAATCACTCGACCGCTCCAGCCTTTCATCCCAAAGGGTACAACCTAACTGTAGGAAAAAAAATAGCCCGGGGGAAGGTCCGGGATAGTGGAAAAGTAAAATTAGGTTGCAATTGGGACGACGATTGCTTCGCCGGGCAGCCTCGTTGGGATTTCTCTCAAAGAAGGATTCGGATTAAATTATTCCTTTGAGAAGGCGTAAATAAAGCTTTGGGGGAGAAGTTTGGATTGATCCTGTATAGTCAGAACGAACTGTCAATAGTTCGGCTAGCTACCGGTAAATATATAATGTAGATAAACTCTATGCCTTGACACAAATTGACGCGGTAATACAAAATGAACGTTTCTCATGGAAAAATAATACATCATCTCGAATAAAATTAGTTAGAGGTAACTAATGGCACGATTAGCATATAAAATACAGAATTGGCATATAAAAAGAGCAAAATACTGCAATTTCTGTCAAAGATGAGTACCGGTTGGGTGTCGCGGACGAGGGTTCAGGTACTTTTTTAAAAATTTCTTTTAAATAATATTTTTTATTTTAATTTTTACGGGCAAGGCTAAGATTTAAGCCGTGACGCTAAGGTGGTAAATACGAATATCATGGCCTCATAACTATTCTGCGGCCACGGTGGTTAAGGGTATAAACAGGGAGACACAAAACTTGTTCGACATTTACTTATTGTTCACAGTTTATTTCCAAATATATAGACCATCATCTTTTCTTTAACTTTGAAATCGGACATCTTTGGGATTTTTGAAGATAATTTGTACAGATTTCACTGTTGTGATTATTTGGGAAAGACAGTTGGTCATGTTTGACAAAATGTTTCCTAATAAGGTGGTTTTGGGATTAGTTAAAACAATGTTTTTATTCAATAATATAACACCTTAATTTATAACAAATATTATGAACTTAAAGTGAAGCTTGTTCTTCTTTATTGTTGCAATAACGATTGTAGAAAGCTTATCTGAAGTATGGTCTTTTCATCAGCTCCGATCCTTTCATTTTCTCTTCGGCTCTCATTGGCAAAGCTTTTCCGATAAGAACAACGAAGATAAGCTGATCAGAGGTAATCTGTTTTGTCTAGGTGAAAAACCCGTTCTTTTTTTTCAGAAACTTTTCCACGTTCTCGGTTCTTGATACAAAAATAGTTCAAACATTAAAAAAAAAAAGAAAAAAAAGCCACAGGGCTTTTGTTATTCTACATTTATCACATCGGCAATTAATACAGGAGCGGTTTTTTCCATCTATCCGCGGTCGCGCGGATTTAATAAATGAGAAAGCTCTGCTGTTGTGCATTTTAGACTGTGACGTCCCAGGCTTGTAAATAATGAAGTTAATTTATTCCCTTTTAAAACAGATTCAGCCCTGTGTCTTTGATGTTAATTGCCACGTTTCAAAAACCTAGACGCAACGGATATGCATATTGCAAAAGAAATGTTTAATTAATTAGACGAAGAAAAAAAAGAGCCGGGGTGGGGGTGGATTTAATTAGTTTTGAAACTTTTATTATTCGTAGATAAAGCTCCCTTTGAAGACAACAGACGGATTTTTCTTTAATTTACTTTCTTAATTAATCATTTTAGTTAAATGTGTATTGTATTTTTAATTTTATCCATTCCTTATCCTAAAAATTTATATAAAATTTGGATATTGTCACAATGTTTATATGTTTCGTCTAATGTATCAAAACAATAATATCAAATAATACTAAGAATATTTTTTCAGTATTATCAAAACAAACACACCGATGTTTTCAACGTAATGTTTAAATGATAGATATAACAAAGTAAATAGAATATTGTTTTAAAACCTTTTATCTTTCAAGCTGTTTGTCAACAGTTTAAGGGATTGGTTGAAAGAAAAGGCCCGTGTCCTGTTGGATTAGATGGACTTTTTTTCGTACAAAGCAATAATACTTTAAGTCAAACCTCCAGGGCTTTTGTCCCTCTTGAGAAAAGTATTTAAAGCGTTGAGTATATTCGATTTCTAACTGAGCCAAAGATTCGTGATCTGTTCAAATAAACGTGTTTTTCGTTTTTTACCCTTCCATCTCTACTTTTTGTGCTACAATCCCCGAGAAAACATCCGGTTTCCCCTGCTTACACGATTTTCATTCAAAGCCCTATCTCTGCCTAATTGGAAGGCCGCATGGTCGGAATGGAAAGTCCGTCCCGTCGCATCGATCCGGGTACGAAACTGTCTCCTCGGCCGGGCCCTATCTCACAGGAACACAATACCTGACGTATGTGATATCCTCCTTTATGCCCCTATCTCAGACCCTTTCTTCGGCCGATCTCAGATAGCGAATTTCACGTATGAGCTCCTTTACGTCCGAGGAGAGGGGCCTTTTAAATAGAAAAGCTTTTCGATAATTATCAACTTAAATCGTTCTTTTGAAAGGGTGGACCTTTTTGTTATATGGTTTGTTATAAAACCTGGCATTTCCATTTTCCGACTATATTCAACTATTCAATTAAGCTGAGCTTGTAAAAATTCGAACAAATAAATAAAAAATAAACCAAAATGTAAATTTACCAACTACACGTCAATTTAAATAATAAAATATATTGAGAGAGAAATAAATAAATAAAGAGACAGCGGCATAGAAAGAGAAGATGGAACGAATGTGTAGTTGCTTACTGTCAGTAGGAACTATGTTTTTAAAAATGATCGAATGTGTGTGCGTGTGTGTGTGTGTGTGTGTGAGAGAGAGAGAGAGAGAGAGAGAGAGAGAGAGAGAGAGAGAGAGAGAGAGAAAGAGAGAGAGCGAGCGATAGACTGACACGGAAAATTAAGGAAGTGAGTGAAAGAGTGTGGGTGAAGAGAACAAGCTATACAATTATTTTTTCAACTATTTTATTAAGTAAAATAATGTAAAAGAGAGATAGATAAATAAAGTGAGTGAATGAGAGAGAAAGCGAGAGAGGGAAACTGAATAAATATGTATATATATATATATACGTATATTTATTATAAATGGATTATATATATACACACTGACTGGCAAAAAATTCCACCCAACTGATTTTTTTCATTTTCTCGATACAAGAAATTTCTGCGCTTAATTTGTCTCATTGTTTTTATCAATAAATATTTGTTTATGCTATGTTTTAAACTGGGAATATCAATTAAACTTAAAAATGCCACTCAGTGCTGAGGATGTTGCGCGTGATGTGGCACTTATTGGTGATGGACGTTCCATCAGGTATGCGGCTAATGCCATCGGAGTTCCCTACGAAACTGCTAAACGTTTTTGAGAAACAGGGTTCCACCATAGAAGGCCCGGTCTGGACAGAACCACAGGATGACCGTTTTTTTGACTTTGAGAATTTTGCGAAATCGGCACCTTACTGTTGTTCAAGCAGTTCATCAGCTCCAGGAAGTTCAAGGTGTCTAAATGTCTGAACGCAGTGCTCGAAGAAGATTAAATCAGTATCGACTGATGGCTTTTTGCCCCGTAAGAGGACCCGAATGGACCAGAACGCACGGATTTGCACGGCTCGCATTGCTCGATAACACAACCATTGGTCTGGGGACGATTGGTCTGCTGTACTTTCTACAGATGAGTGTAGATTTGCTCTACGATCTCCAGATGGGCGAGAAAGAGTGTGGAGAAGGCGAAATGAATGGTACGAAGCTTGTAAATTTTTTCCCAGAGCCAACCTTTTCAACGTAGTTCAGTGGTTACGGTGTGTGGTGCTACAGCACTTCTGTGTCACTTTTGTACTGGCGAGAACGTACAGTCACCATTCACGAAAAGTGGCATATCTCAGTTCTGTGTTAAGCTTTAAAGCATCAGTGTGAGTTTAAAGCATCAGGAAAAGTGGCACATTTCGAATTACATCGGTTTCTTCTTCTCTAGTGAAAGATTTTATGCTTTACCGGAGTCAAATTTTCACATTATGAAAAACAATTGTACAAATATGTTTTTCATAATGTGACATTAATGGCCTGATGATGACCTTAAAATAGGTCGAACGTTTGGCATTAACAAATTAACTTGCTTTTTTCTTGAAGACCATTCCTTGATCTTGAGTATTCGTGAATTATTTTAGTTTCATTTCTTTCATTTTAATAACATTCTTAATTATAATATTGTTTTTCATAATTTTTTTAACAATATTGTCTTTTAACTCGTCGAAATCGAAAACATTATTTTATAGATTAATTCACATTTGCTTAGTGGTCATAACCGACCGTATTATTTATTCCAATTAATTATTCTTTTTATGTAAGGTTTTTGGTTGAGATGAAAACTTAGTGTCACGAGCGAGATTCGAACCTACGACCTTCGGCTGTACGCCGATGCTCTTGCTACTTGAGCTATCGTGAGCCGAAGGTGGGCTCGAATCCCGCTCGTTCACTAATTTTTCATCTAAGCTAAAAACCTTAGATAAAAAGAAGAATAATTAATTAGAATTATTTTACAGTTTCAACGATTTTTGAAATGTCTTAATTATAATATTTTTATTAATGAATAAAACCTTTATTCCAAAAATTATTTTTGTATTTTAAATAACTAATTAGCCCTGAGTCCAGAAGGAAAGCACATTTGAGTCAAAAATAATCTTAGTAAAACTTACTACATGGATATTTATGCTCGTTTGTTATGTTTCTATGTTGCCTGTTACAATCACAAAAAAATTAATACTCTTACAGTCGTTCATTGACTAACATTATCGTTACAGCACACAAACTAACTTAAATTACTGAGGGCCAATATATGCAAGAAAAGTGTCACAATTCAAAAAGGTGTAGTTTATTAGGGTAGTACTACTGGATTTTAAATTTTTTTTGTTATCGCTTAAGTCTTAGAAAAACGCAAGTCAAAAATTGGTGGATCATGACAGTTTTTATTGCCAACAACCGTAATTATACCAGATTGTACAAGAAAGGAATTATGTTCATGAACTTAACACATAAATGAAAAAATTGTCTCTCCAATGAAATTTTCTTTTTTTGAGTTGTGACACATTTCTTGTTGGAATGCGATATGTATATAATTGATTAATAAAGTTATCACAATCAAAAAAAGAAAAATGTCAGAGTTTTCTATCCAACTTTCTTTACTTCAAACTATAAGTGTAGTTTTTCTTTATCTCAACTTTACTATCTTTCCATCAAGTTTTTCAGGGCGGGGAAGCTTTCCCCAGTATCAGGGTTACTTCTGCTCCTTTCAAGTTCCTGTAGGTCCCTTTTTAGTTTCGAGGATCAGAAAAATACCAAGGGGGCGATGAATTGAACCACGAACGTGACCAGATTATACGAGAAAGGAATTATATTTAAGATGTAGACATGTTAGTTTTATGTCCGACGAGAAATGTTGGCGTTTCACTTGCTAAATTTTCGGAGATGTAAAAAAGAAATTGGTGTTTATGAAGAAGATGAAAGACCGATGTCAAATTTTCATATTGACTAACGTGATATCCCGAAGGGAAAACGGGTGTCATTTCGTAGGTACTGCCTCTGACATAAAAGGCGTGGGTGATTCCTTTCCACGGGTCGATATTTATAATTTTCTCCCGTATTTCCTCTTAACCCAAACCAGGAAAACTTCGGTTCTCAGTTGGGGTTGCTGAAAGGAGTCGGAGAGCAAACGGCGACTTTGCAATTATTCTACTCTATTGATACAGGATAAAAGTTTACCTTTCGAATAGATAAAAGCAGGCATGGATGAAAGCCTTTTTGATGGCCGGTGGAAGTGTTGAAACAAAGCTTCCTCCCAGCGGCCGGGCCGTGTCTTTATATTCGTGGACCTCATTCATATGCAGATTGAAAACTATGAAACCCTCCAAGAACGGTAAAAGAGAACGGCCGAATTTTGACTTTCGTCGTTTGTTCCTGAAACCGGATGCTACCTCTGACAGAAATGCTTGCACGCACTTCACCTCCGGGCGGTCGGAAATACGCGAATTAAATTATACGCAAACGGATTATTCATTTCCTGGCTGGAGATAACTGGAGAATTTTTCGATACGGGATGAGAAAGTAATGAGCAGGTCAGGGTGTGTAATAATATTCCAGGCGCATTATCTACAGTTTTTTAAATGCATACTTAATTCTTTCTATTATCCTTTTTAAAAATTAAAATTAAACTACAATAAAATCAAAAATTCGGGTTCGAATACTTAAATAAATCACAGTTGATTCCCTTATTTCTAAGTAAAGATAAGGGTAAGTATAAAAAGTTAAAGGCATTAAAAGGAATATTCTTGCTTTCTGCTACCACATTAGCCAAGGCATAATAATTAATTTCTTTTAATCGTTGCCTTTGACGTTCTCAGATATTTCTTTACACGTTACACACTTAAGGAAAAAAGGTAAGCACAATTTTGAAGTAACTCACAAATGATTCCTAGGATTCTAAGTGTAAAAGAGGTGAAAGCATTTTAAGGTACAATTATTAATTTCTTTAATATATTGTCATATCGTTCGTCTTTATTTAATTCCGATATTTCTTTAAGAATTGCACATTTACAAATAAAAAGGCTAGGCAAAATATTAAAATAAGTCACACGTGATTTACAAAATTCTAAGTATATAAAAAAAAGCATTTTAAGGATATAAAGCATTTAATAACTTAATTTAGTATGTTTAATTTATTAAGTCATGGCTTTCGTCATTGCTTATTCATTATATGCCGCAAAAATAATTGTGATTGTATTAATTTACTAATGATACAATTGCATGAATAAAGGGGTGAGTGGTGGAACGGTGCCGTCGTGTGCGGACATGTTAATGTGCTCTCTGTTGGCTTTGGCATTTTCTAGCGGAAAAAATTGATCTCTGTGAGCAAAATTAGCAGAGGTTCGCCCTATAAACTCCTCTCTAACCGGAGTGGATTACTTTATTACCCACAGTAAGTCCTTTAATTGTGAAATTATTCAATTTCTTGAACTTGTATCTTTGCCGTGCCAACTGTGGAACAGGTACAAGGGTCAGTCTGATAACATCCCGGGTTCAGGGCTGTGCCAGCAAAAACAAAACAAACAACAAGCAACCTGTCTTTGGATAAGACCAGGAGGTAGGAGGTTTCAGCTGACTTCTGTATGTCAACATTCAAATCTCCAAATATAGTCCAGATAGACTACCGTTACTGCATAACACAATTTCTGCTCCAATACATCTACAAAACACGTAATGCAAACGACGCCTAAATCCTCCAAACACCCAAGATTTCGCCTGGATCGTCAAGCCCGGATTTTCATTCCTGTGTAAAAGCTTCAAAGATGTCTCTACCGGCTGCCTCGTCAGTAAGTGATCGTGGTAATGACTTGGTTCGTAATGATAGATGAAAAGTTCTCATGCTTACCTACAAAACAGGACTTGAACACATTAAAGAAGAACATTGATAAAATGTTTGAAGAAATCAAAACGTCGAAAAAAAAAAAAATGAAGCTGAGGAACGAAGTAGCCCGCCAAACTGAAGTGGATAGAAGGCATGAAAGACAGCTGGAAGCTTTGAATAATTTTAACCGAAGAAATAATTTAATTTGTTTCTGTATCTCTTATAAAAGCGATGACAACCTTGAAGAAGTTGTTCGCACTTTTTTGGCGGAAGTTTTACAGCTGTCAAAATCCTTTGAGATTGCGGCTGTGAAGCCTTTAGGCCGCACGAATACTTTTCCGGGTCCTTTACTGGTCAATCTTTGACGTACATCGGATAAATGGGAAATATTTAAATGTGCCTCTAGACTAAAAGGCACGAAATGGAGAATATCAGCAGATCTTTGCTATATCACACGCATTGAAATAAGGAAACTTATACAGCTACGAAGGAACATTAAGCAAATGAAACCGGACAGTATCTGCACTCTGAGAAAAGACTCATTACACATAAATGGTTGCCGTTTTCACTGGGCCTTACATTATCGGCCTTACATACAAACGTACCAGGATTGGACAAGTTAGGTGAAGTTTTGGGAATGGATATCACAAGTCTTTTGGAGCAAATTTCATCGAACCCAAAACACCGAGATGGACGAGGTGATCATCGCACTCAGGGACGTTCGGCGCTTCAAGATCTTCAGAAATCTCCAAATCAAGCTTAGAGCGAATGACAAAGGCAGGCCTGCCGAAAGCATTCATACCAATTGTACAATTATTCTAATGTTAAAGAGTTTAGTTTTTTATCATATAATGTAAGATATCTTAATAATCTTAATAGTAAGAAGGATATGAGCGTTTTTTTGCAACTAATTTTTTTTTTAAATAGAAACTCATGTTACGGAAGAAATTTTTTGAATCCTTTAGTAGATTTCTTTTTAGGTTTTAATCTGTGTTGGGTGCCGGCGAGAAGATCTGGCTTTGGCAGAACAAAGGGCGGTGTCCTTATAGGTTTCAAAAAAATGCCATAACAGGATCATGAAAACGTCTAAGTTAGACGATCACAGTATCATTGATGTCGAAATAAATGGAATCCCAGTACGCACCATGCCTGTTTATCTTTATTGTAATAAGTACAATTAATTAAGGTTTTTAGTTGAGATGAAAAAAAGTTAATGGCAATTCTTTAAATTCACAAATTTCGTGGTCCGCTTGATCAATTAAATCATTACAATTAATTAAGGCTTTTAGTTGAGATGAAAAAAAGAATTAATATGAAGTACACTTCACTAAAGCTCTCCGTGGCCATTTCAATTGTCGTCGAGAATCCAAACCGATTACACGACATTTGAAAAATGGCAAAAGGGAGGGAAAACTCATAAGGTGGGGTTGAGATAAGAAGTTGATGTCCGAGTGGATCGAGGTCACGATAGCTCAAGTGGTCGAGCAGCGGTGTATCTAGCCGAAGATCGTGGGTTCGAATCCCGCTCATGCCATTAACTTTTTTTCATCTCAACTAAAAACCTTAATTAATTGTAATGATTTAATTGGTCAAGCGGACCACGAAATTAGTGAATATAAGTAATAAGTATCGATTCAGAACTGCTAATGATAGTGGAGAGTTTTGGTCCGTAGTGAACGTTTTTAAACGGATGCGACCACGAACATCATCTAACGTTTTCTACAACCATTCTAATTTCGTTGATATCTGCCCCTTTCGAGTAAATAAACAATTTCCCTTGAAAACCAACAAATATCAATTTTGATTCTACTGGAACGAAATTCACTCTCGCTGTTCTGTCATGATGGGCGCTAACGAGGTCAATACACGTATTAACTTCCCCTGCGAATAATTAGCCCGACACGAGAGAAATTGAAATTTAAATATCAACCCATCGACTGCACAATCTATTTCTTTTACTGAATCTATTTTATTGGCATTTAACTAATATATTATATTAGTTTCTATTTAGTTATTTATTTTATTTCAGGAAAATATGTACTTTTGTTTTATAATCAGCGGTTTATATTATTTTGTAGAGTATACAATTATTTATTTATATATTTTATTGAATTCTGTCATTATTACTATTATTAATTTTTAAGGGCGTTTTAACGGCTAAGGTAATTTCACACCCTAACATCCCAAACCTTCTATCTTAGTTTAGCTATATCCCGATCTTAAAGCTCTGACTCCAAACATTCACTCGTAAACTAATTTATCCTAATTCCATCCAAACTTTAATTTATCCTCTTAAAATTCTTAATTTGGAAGGCAAATGTATGCAAAAATCACATTTTAAATTACATATAAAATTTTTTATTTATTTATTTATTTTTTATTTTTTAAAAATTAGAATTCTGAATTTTTGTTCCAAAATTTAAACATTTCCCATAGGCTTATATGGCTAATAATAATGGAGTCAGACTAGCAACAGTCTCAGCATGAGTATAGGCTCATCCTTATCCTTTTATTCTTCCATTCAAATATGATAAATAAACTAATTCTACATAACAATAATAAGAAACAAAACACAATAGCACTTTTTTTTTATTACCCCGCAATTTGTATTTTCTTCCATTTCATTTTTCCGCTCCGGCAGCCTCAAAAATTTCTGCAAAAAAGAAATCTTGCACGCACAACGTTCATTCAAACATTAGCAGTCAAACGTTGAATGGTATAACAATTTGGGAAAAGGCCTAAATCTCATTAGAAATCCCAATAAATGTGAGAAAACTGAAAAGTGCTCTTCGAAAGAAACACTGGGGACCCAGTAACTCCTGTAAATCACTAAAGGGTTGCAAAGTGGGACAGTCGACCAAAATATGTTTTACTGTCAGAATGAAACGTACTCCACTTCGCACACATCGAGGACAAGTTGGAAGGTTGTTACCTATTAAAAGCCTATTATGGATTAGCCTGATGTGACCTATTCGCAATCTAGAGAGAATCACAAGTTATTTTCTCTCAAGTTCCTCAGTTGGCCATTTATGAACAACTGGCTTAATTTCTTTCATACTATCTCTACAGACATTCCATCTTGCCGCCCACTTTCGTTTGATAATGTTTTTAACATAAACGACTGTATCATCTGGGCGAAGAGGAAATTGATCTGTTCTTTATGGATGGTTTGCAGCGTTCCTTGCCTGTTGATCAGATGTTTCATTTCGAGAAATGCCGACTTGACTAGGAACCCAAACGAATACCACATGTTTGTTGAGTGTTCTGATTTCGTAGAGATATTTGTGAATTTCTAAGATGTATGGGTCAACCGAGAAATTATTTTTGATTGCTTCGAGACCACTTTTCGAACAGAGCAAATAATGGCATTACAAATTCCTTGCGATTCCTTTATAATGCTCAAGTATCTTCTGATTGCGTGAAGTTCAGCTGTGTATACGCTAGCCTCATTCGATAGAGACCAGCTGAGGTTATACCCATCAGCAAATATCCCACACCCTTCACCAATTTCATTTTTAGATCCATCGGTATAAAAAACGTTATAATTGGGATAGTTATTTAAAATTCGCAAGAATTCTGCTTTGATCATCAGAGAAGGTGTTTCTCGTTTGTTCAATAAGGCCAGATCTTCGATAATTGTGGCAGTAGGTAATGACCACGGTGGATATTATTATTATTAATTTTTAAGGGCGTTTTAGCGGCTAAGGTCATTTCACGCCCTAAATCCAAACCTT